AAATTTGTTATTACGGATCAACAGCAGAAGGCCTTTCGGTGTGGCCAGCACCGCTAGTGGGCCCACCACGCGTCCGCGCACCACCAGTGTGCGCATGCGCCCCTTCACCACCAGTGTGCGCATGCGCCCCTTCACCACCAGTGTGCGCATGCGCCCCTTCACCACCAGTGTGCGCATGCGCCCCTTCACCACCAGCGTACGCACCACGCCCACGCCCACGGCCACGAGCACGACCACGTCCACCTCTTTAAAGAAAAAAGCAAAAACAAAAAGCATGCAAACCAAAGAGAAAATAAACACAAAAATGCAAGAGATACGCGAGACATGAATGCAAAAGGTGCCCTTAGAGCTAATTTAGTAATGTCCATGCGTAACTTTTTTAACTTACTATAAGACGTCTAGAAAATATGTAAATATTATTTTTGGAGAAATTTTTTGAAAAAAAAATTGGTTGTCAAAGTTAAAAATAAAATTATTTATTTTTAAATTTATCATCGTGCAACAAACACTTTTTGTCCCAAACAATTTTGGGCTTGGACGCTCTTCAAATGCCTTTATCTCGGCCCAGGTTCGTCTAAGTCCAAAATTGTTCAGGAAAAAATTGTTTGTTTGGGTGCCCCCCCGACACGACGCAAACGAAGAAAAAAGAAAAAAGAAACAAAAATGCTGTATTTTTATCTTGGTACCTACTTGGTACTTCAAATACCTAAATATCTTTGCTCAGGTTCATCCAAGCCCAAAACTTTTTACGACAAAAAGTGTTAGTATATGCGCCCTCTACATGATGCAAACATAAAAAATAAAAAATTACAAAAATTCTGCTAAGTTTTTTCGCTCCCATATTTTATATTTATTTATTTTATTTATTTAATATTCTTTATTGCACACCATACAAAGCATACAGAAATGACATACTACAAAAAAGTATGCAACTTCCACTATATCTCCACAGTAACTAAATGTTTATGCAATTAAAAGTGATGTAACATTACATGCAAAATATTTAAAAATAACTTCAAACAGAAAATACAAAAGCGTATCTATAATTTCTAGCATGCCCGACATGCCGCCGTTATGACGTCATCAACTGCCAAAACCCTGTCTGTGCCCCTGCCGACTGACGGTAAAGAAATAACCTTCACGTATTTAGACCCAAAATTAAAGTTTTCAAAGCTAAATACACGTTTACCATTGTCATCCATTGCAAATTAATTACATTAGTAGCTTAAATTCTCCAAAACATTACGGTTTCATTCACTTTTTAGACCAAATATTGCAGAAATAAAAGTACGTTCATAGTTCGTTAGACGGCTATGTCGTTGGTTTGGCCTGGTTTTTACAATTAAATTAGCAAAATTATATGTTTCCCAGTAATAAAAATGTGAAAGTACTTACCTTTCCATGGTTTCTCCTTCAAATCACAACAAATTTGATTCAAGAAAACTTATCAAAGGCGTGACAAAACCGGAGTCGGTTGGTTTGACAGCGTCCAATTTGAAGTGCCGATATTTTTTTTTTACGGAGCAAAGAGTAACAGTAAAGCAGTTTGACACTGAGTATATATTATTAGTCTATGATTTCAAGTGTCGCACCTAAAAAACGCATCGTAGTTCCGTCGTAAAGAGCGCGAAAACATAAACAGGAAACGATGCCGACTGCTGGTCGGCTCACAGACGCGCAAATAATTTGACGTGCCGACTGCTGGTCGACGCACAGACAAGGGGTTAAACAATGTGGAGCTAAAAATAGCCTTTTTTGAAAAAGCAAAGATTTGTAATCTATTTCATATCAAACAATTACATGATTACTGTGAAACCGCTGAGACAAGGAGTCACACCGTTTCTAAATGAAATAGCAGATTGTTCTGTGGTACAGGTATGAGCTTTTGTTAGGTACTTGTTATTTCTTAATTCAAAGCGATGTTTTGTTTCCAAGGGAAGAAAAGTAATTTAAAAAAAATTGCAGAAAAAAAATTTTGAGAAAGAAAGAAAAATGCATTCTCTTACCTAGAAAGCAGGAACAGCTTGATATGTTATATCACTAGGCTATAATTTGTAAAAATAATTACAAGCTATTTTGTACATATTTTGCTAAGTTTTTAATTGTATTTAATTTTTAAAATTTCAAATTGCGGTCTCAGGAAATCCATTTTTTTTGATAAATTGTACGATAAGTGTGACAAATTGAAAAATAAAGTGTTCATGACAAATTATATGTAGTAGAGCCATGCTGCAGCTATATTTCTGGTATAGTTGTAACACGAATGGATCAGCTCGACCGGGGAAGGACCACACTCTCACAGAATACCAGCGTAAAATAGCAGCTTAATGCTGCTGTGTTTCATATGGTGAGTGTAGAGACCGGAGACCCTTTTTACTGGAAACGAGGCATTCTATCTTAGTCCTCACGGGTGACAACGCATCTGCATTTTGATTCGTAATCGAGGATAAATGTAGATGTCGATGGGTCACAGCAACCAATTACCATCAGGTGGACTGTGTGCTCGTTTGTCACCCTTATCCTATAAAAAAACCAAAATAGTAATGACATTTTAATTATATCGGCATGGTTTGTTGGTCTATTAAATTGTTAACTACATATTATGTCAAAATTTTTTCAGTGTTTCAGTTTTTTAAAGTTCAATTGTGATTTTGGTTCTGACTATAGCATTTTCACAACTAACTAGTACATTATAAAAATATTCGTTGTAAGAGCTTTTTACTCTTTCAGGTCATGGACAAAAGCACTTCCTCCATTCAAATATTTTGCGCTGATAAGTGTGCAAGCAAGGATTAATTTATCACAAAAAGGAGAACTAATTATTAACATTACATTTTACTCGTCAAAAGCGTACAAGTTTATTAAACAATATGCAACTTTGCCAAACGTTGAGACCTTAAGACGCTCTTTGGCCTTCTTTAATTGCATTGTAGAGCTTTTTATCTGATCCAAACCCGATCTCAAATACTGATGATACAGTACAACTATATTAAAAATGTATTAATCAATATTATTATTCATCACTTCACACCATAGTTATGACCAATGTTTTATTTATACGTATTCTATAGTGTATTCTATACGTGGTAGAGCCATGCTGCAGCTATATTAGTAGTATAGTTGTAGTACGAATGGGTCGCCTCGACCGGGGAAGGACCACGCTCTCACAGAATGCCAGCGTAAAGTAGCAGTTTAACGCTGTTGTGTTTCGTATGGTGAGTGTAGAGAGCCGGAGACCCTTTTTACTGGAAAAGAGGCATTCTGATGCATTTTGATTTGTAATAGAGGATAGATGTAAATGTCTTTTGATCGCACAATAAATAATAAATAAATATAGGCCGCAGCAACCACTTACCATCAGTTGGACTGTGTGCTCGTTTGTCATCCTTATTCTATAACAGAAAACCAGCCTATGGATGACAGTATTAATTGCTCTTAATTTCATTAATCCAGAATTTTAAATTTTGTTTTATAGGATAGGGTGACAAACGAGCACACAGTCCACCTGATGGTACATGGTTGCTGTGAATTTCAAACTCTTTTTTGACCATGTGTCGCAGAACGCATCTTAAAAAAATTATGGACTAAAAGTTGAGTGCTATTCGTACCAAGTGACAAAAACTTCACAAAACTATTCAATCATGTATAAAAATTGAGTTGTTGTAAAAACCTTCACCTCTAATTATTATTATTGTATATTTTAAATTTGTAGACACTATTGCTATTGTAATAATAAATGTAAATAAAAACGATTATTATTTTAGTTTTATTATTTCCTAATGTTACATTATAAGAGATGTAAAGACAGTCTCCCGAAAACTTTAACCATGAATCATCATCCTGAGTAAGGTACTGAAGAATTTTCTTTGTGGAAATTAAAAAAAATTGACTTCCCATTCAAAATTGGTCACGTGACTGATACATTTTGTATGGGAAATCGAATTTTTTGTTCATTTTCGGACAAAAATATTTTAGTTTTAGTTAAAGTTTTGTATATAGAGTCTGTTCACTCGTTTATTCGTTTATTGGCAAAAAAGTACACGAATAAATAATATTAATTAATAAACTTCCGCCCGCAGGCTCGACCTTATGAATTTCTCTAATATCATGCGTTTCAATGGAACTCTACTATTTTCAATTAAATTAAAATTTTATAAATGAATATAATAAAAATAAACTGATTTTTCCCCATAATATCCCAAATTCTTGTATTTTGTGTTCACCCTAATTAGAAAGAGACTGAGGGGTAATGAAAAATTTCAAGGTCGTTTTTATGTCATTCGAAAGTGCGGGTTCCAGTTTGTACGAAGTACATGTATTTCCATGGTCTAAACTCTAAATGGGAGTTTTGGCGGGAAATTGACCGGCGGCGGTTTGCTGCTCCTGTATTATTGTTTAAATAATGGTTTGAAGTGGACTTTGATATGTAAAAGTGATGCGATTTTGTGTATTAAGTGTCTACGCATGTGAACTATTAGTGGAAACAGTGAAACAAGTGCTCTGATGGTGATGGATTCTCAAGATAAGCTGTTTGTTTGCATAGGCACCTTTAGATACCATCGCCAACTATCAGCTGTCTGCTGGATCAAGTTGCCGCCAAAATCTCCCAAGAACTGCACAATGTGACGCATCAACATATTGTGAAGCAGTATACTATGAAGGAGTGGGGAAATTACAATAAACCGAATAAAAATACTTAAGACTTGGCCTAAAGGTCTAGATACCAGGCCATAAACTCCAAAAAAAAAACTCTAAATAAAATAAACGTTATATTAATAATTAATTAATTAATACACAGAACAGAACCAGAATCCAGAACTATACTAGAACAGATCACCAGAAATTAAGTTTGTTATGTAATTATAATAATGTTTTCTTTCTTCTAAAATTCTTTTAAAGTAGCTATAAAATTTTTCTTTACTCAGCTGACCGACTTATTATTAAGAGAATTCTTGTGTGAGAATAAAAAAGAAGAATGCTATGAAAAGAAATAATATGAAATGAATGCTATTATCGGACTGTGTCACTTTTGTGAAGCTCATGGCCCACGTCCACTATTTTGCACATTTACAACGGATAAAGAGGAGAATACAACAGACTCTTCAAAATGTTCCGTCGAATGCAGTGGTTGCACTTCTCTTGGACCAGAAACAGTTTTAGTGTCCAGGGATGATGATGGTACAATATTTTGCAGCAGAGAATCTGTGCCTAATACAGAAATAAACACATTTCTGCGTCAAGCAGCCATAAGAAGTATAACATGTGAAGTAAGTACAAAATTATTATAAGAGTAAGGTTCGCGTCAAAAATAATAATTTACTATTAAAGTAAGGTTGGAAAATTAAATTATATTTTAACGTGGTAGAGCCCTGTTGAAGCGATGTAATTATGATTGTAGCACTAATGGGTCGACTCGACCGGTGTAGGGCCATCCTCTCATAGAATACCAGCATACCAAATAACTTTTGCAATTCATTGACAGTGAAGGTTAGTGGTGAACTTTAGCCAAAACAGTAATTATGTAAACATATTGATCATAGTGATGGTTGTGCATACCTGCTTGCAGAAACAAAATACAAAAATTATTTTTAATACTAATGACTACAATATTAAAACTAATGTTCTTCCGACCAAATTTTGGTTGTTTGGTTTCCGAGGCACAGGGGTGAGACACCGCCAACTTCCTGACTCCGGGCAGCTACTGAGAATTTCTTGATGGAAAAGCAACCCGGGATTCAATCCTGGGATCTCATGTAGTGCAACTTTTAATCAGTTGCACTACTACAACCAGTAGACCAATGAGGCTGTCAATAATGACTACAATATTTCTTGCATTATTAAACAAGATTAATATTCTCCATTTTTTCATTGCATTTAGGTAAGCTGGAGTAAGGAAGGTGGAGTGATATATTTCAGTGACACACAGGGCCATGTCTTAAGCTTCACATTTCAAGTCCAGGATACAAGAGCCCGTGGATTAAAGCGATGGTTCTCTATTGTGGTATTAATGAAGGACAAAATGCTTCTCCTAAATCTTACTCCAATGCTTTCTGAACACATGCAGGTATTTCGTTCCTAACCTTAAGTATTTACTAAAACTTTTAAAATCATTACAACTATATCTCTACTATAATGAAAAGATAACATGGCTTATAAACATTTAACAGTAACATAAATCTGCCTTATTTTACCTACTTCTTAAGTTTTACTCCTTGTAATTTGTTCTTTTTTATCGTTTTTTGTGGTGCACAATAAAGTATAAATAATAATAGTAATAAATCTGGTAAAGTTTTGGAACTGTATATAACTACTATAACTGTATATAATAAACAATAATACCAAATACAAATAAAAATAGCAAGGGAAGTTTATAGTTTGCTATAATTTTAATTATAAAATTTTAAAAGTTGATTCCTTATATATAAGATATCTTAAATATAATAGTCCTCCCATCTTTTGCATTATCAACCTCTATTTTGTTTCCTTTTTCTGGGATACCATTCTGTCACTATTTTGCTACATTTATCCTGGGGGCTCAATAGCATATGACCCGTCCATCTCCACTTCATTTTGTCTATCTTAGTGAGCATATCTGTCACACCTGTTCTTGCTCTTATGTATGTATTTCTTTGCTTATCTATTTTTCTGATTCTCAACATGCTCCTTTCTATGGCTCTTTGACAGTGTTCGAGCATATTTCTGTGCTGCTTAGAAAGTGCCCAAGTTTTGCAGCCATAAGTTGGGCATGGGAGTATACAGTTGTTAAAGGCTGTTCTTAATTTTTTTACTAAAATCTGTAGATTTCATAATCTCCTTCAGTAACCAATATCTTTTCCATCCATTGACTATTCTCCTTTTGATTTCTTTGATAGTTAGATCCATTAGTGAAATTTCAGATATACTCCTCTACATACTTGAGAGGTTGGTTATTGATTTTTATTTCATATGGAATTAACTTTGATAGTAACTTTGTTTTACTTGCGTTCATTGCCAGCCCAACCTTCTCACTTTCCTTGTTTAGCTCTTGTTTAATTTCTTTAAGTTTGTGAGGGTTCTCTTCGAACAGGACAATGTCGTCAGCAAATTGGAGATGATGTAGTGTAGATTTTATGTTTTAAAAACATTTAAAATTATTATCCCAAAAAATCTTATTAATATTTTAGAAAATATCAACTGAGCTTCAACAGTTAGCTGAGGTTGTCTTTAATAAAGAACAAAGTATCTGTTCCCAAAGAGCCTTGAGACTGAAGACAGGAAGAAATGATTTTGGACAATCAAGGTCACTGATACAATTAACAGGTAAATCTACTGTTGAGAAAATAAATATTTTATATATAAATTCAATTGACTTATATAGCATTTTTATATGTTAAGTAACTGAGCTCATATGTACTGGTCCAAGAATCACTTGAAATTGATAGTTTACCATGAAGAGGCTAAAACTGTTATCTGCTAAGATTGTAATTTGTAATACATATGCTCCAAATGCCAAACTCATCTGAACATGAAGCATCCTGTTAACTAATAAATGAGGCTTAACCGAGAAATGTGGGTATTCATCAATTCAGTAAACCTAACTGCTAACTGGTAGAATACAAAACTTATTCAGTGTGTATTTTTTTATAGAATGGGGTAACTAACGAGCACCCTGTCCACCTGATAGTAAGTGGATGTTGTGACCCATAGACATCTATATTTATCTTCGATTAAGAAGCAAAATACAGTTGTGTTGCCACCCCTGAGGACAATGATGGAATGCCTTGTTTCCAGTAAAACTGGTCTCCGGTTCTCTACACTCACCATACGAAACAGCAACATTAAGCTGCTATTTTACACTAGTAATGTGTGAGAGTAGGGTTGCTACCTTTTTTTAGAATAAATGTAATATTTTTCCCCAAATAAAATGCAAAAATACAGTAGTTTTGGGAAATTCAGGAAAAAAGTACACATTTATTTTTAATCTTTATGTATTTTTCCATATATATTTGTTATTGCTCTTTGCTTTGGACATCAATGATATATACCTTTAAAATAATTATAGGAATCTGAGCAATTTAGATTCATATTAAAATAAATTAACAATTCATTTTTTAATTTAGATAATACATGCTCTATTTCTTTCGTCTTTCCATTTTATTTTCATGACGGAAAAAAATCTTTCCATAAATCTTACTTATTCCAGACTTCCAGTCACAGTTAATATAAAAAAGCGCGACTGTTTAATTAGGGATAAAAATATAGTATTTTTCGTACTATATTATTTTTCTATAATAGTATACTACAATTTACTGAAATATAATATGATACTATATATTATAGTACGGGTGGCAACCCTATTCAAGAGCGTGCCCTTCCTTGGTCGCGCCGATCCATTCGTTCTACAACCATAATATAGCTGCAGTGTGACTCTACCATGTAAAAAACGATTTGGTATTTAATAAAAGAACTTGCCCACCTAGGGTTGCAAATAAAAATTCTTATCTATAGAGTTATGCATGCTAGCATACTCATTCTTGAAAGGACATAAAATGTCCAGCTGTAAAGAGGCTGATTATCAAGGTCAGATTAAAGATGATTGCCACCTTTATGATATGCCTTCTTGTGTAAAAAAATTATTGCTTATAATTAATTATTTGTAAATATAAATAGCGGTATCTATTTTAATATTTTAGTTTTTTTATTATTAAAAACTAAAATAGCAGCGCCATTATATATCAAGATCAAAGATGCAAATAACAAATTCAAATCTGCTTGTTCTTACTAGGTATACCCCCTAAGACACCACACCTCCAGTCTTTAACCTATAGGCTATATTGGTTGCAATAAAGAATAAATAAATATTTAAATCCTAATTTTGTTTATAGAATATGGGTGACAAACGAGTACACAGTTCACCCAATAGAACGTGTGAACGTGAGTGCTGTGGCCAATAGACATATACATCCATATAATATCCATTAACTTCCAGCATTCCTTACCAGATCGTCACTCCACCTAGTGGGGGACTGCCCTACACTTCACTTACCGGTATAATGCTGCAACTTTGGAACCTTTCTACCCTATTGGTTGTCGGTTCTTCGAGCCATTTGGCCGGCCATTGCCACTTCAGTTTACTGATCTGTTGCTTTTTGTCTGTTACTCGGGTTCTACTGCAGATACCCTTATTACGAATTATACCATGCATAGAAAATACGAGCTCATACAGCCAACAGTGAAGGACCATGTGTACGATTCATATATCATCACTGGCAATACGCCACTGGTTATAAATTTTAAAGTTCTCAGGCATGCTGCCCAGACAAGTTAACGTCGATGGACCGCTAGGACTTATCTAGTCAAGTTATCCTAGATAAACATACTTATCAACGACTTTGACCGTAGTGTTCCAGCAACTACTGACAGAGGCGTAACATGGATGTTACACATGAACTTTGTTTTGTACTTGTTAATTTTAAGATCTTGTTGATGTGATGACTTGGATGAATTAAACTAAAATCATTTTTGTTTCCTTCTGTTGAAATCATTGCTAAATTACAATATTACATATTTAAAAACTTGAACCATTTAAAAACTTGTTATCATACATTCTAGGTGATGAAAATGTCTACAAAAAGCTTCATTCACATTTCACCTGGATGTTGAGAACTGGTGCACTAACATACTCGGAAACATTATACACAAGTAAAGATCTAATAAATAAAATATATCCAAAAGGAATAAAGAGATCAATTTTTGAGGACAATGCTTGTTTGGTGAATGATAACAATGAATGCATGCCATTGCGAGCTCTGGAAAATTTACTGACAAAGTCGGTATTTAGGATATTATTATTTTGTGCTTTAACTGGAGTAGATGTAAGTGTTAATTAGGTGTTATTCTTAAAAATTTAAATGCAAATGAAAGCTAATTAAAATGTTATTTCAAGCCAGCCAAGTTGATGTGTTATTTTTATATTGATTTCTTATATTTACGCAAACACTACATACTAAATGAAACTAATTTTACGACGTTTATCGCGTTTATTTTAACTTTTTAATTCCGGACGTTGGGACAGAGTTGTTTGACGCACTGACATCATGATTAGCCTGGCTACCTTTAGTTTTTGAATATTAATTTTTGGTCCGATCTACACAGAATGAGCTTACAGTATCTTGAAGTCTTGGGTTTGGATTTAATTTTATTAATTATAGGATCCCAAACACATAGTAGCACCCATCCATCACCTTTAAGATGTTTTTTATTTTAACTTCAATAGCTTCGCGAATTATCCTTGATAGGAGTCGGTGTTCTTTTGCGAGGATTTATGATCAATCAAAACTAATGTAAAGACGAGGTCGACCTTAAACGTGTTCACAGACTTCCCGAAGCGACGGTGCTTAATGTCAGCTATATGTTCTTTTATGCGGGCTTTTATAGATCTTTTTGTTTGTACTATGTACAAGAGATCACATTCACAATCAAACTTGTACACTCTTGCATCTTGTAGAGAGATATTACACTTGACAGATGTTCAAAATTGACTAATCTTCTTCGGAGGCTTGTAGTTTTTTGGAAGGTTGTAATGAAAGCTCGCTTCAATATGTAGCTAATCTTGTATGTAACTCCTCTGACTATAGTAGTAGGGGAGACTGGGGCTGGTCGTGACAGGGGTAGGTAGTTACAGCGGCAACGGTGGCTAAACAGAGAACGCTATATTGACGTGAGAAAGAGACAAATGATCACGCCACCACCGGTTGGCACGCCGCGCGAGCCAGTGGTGCCAGCGCTTTTGTGAGAGGAGCCCGTACATGTTGCCGTAAAAACCGCAGGTTAGTAACATTTTCGTTTTTTCGTAATATTGGTCTACAACCTTTTTTCTTTTAAAGCAGATATGTGTGTGTTGGGATATGGGTGCCCTAATCCTTTCTTTTTGCAACGAATCTACGTTTATACAGTTATACTTAGTTGCGTTTTTACTACTTAACCTTGAAATGTCAGTTTTGGCGTTGGGGCTAAAAGTGACATTTGCTCAGGGCAGGTTGTTATTTGTTACTACCTGCCCCGTAGTGCTACTTGCCGATAGATATAATTGGAACTACATAATTTGTTATTTTTTTTTAGGATGAGGACGTATAAAAGAAAAACTGAGTGTGGAAAAATATCTAAAGAGGTTTACGAAAAAGCAGCAGCTATTTTGGAAGAGGATAAAACTAGAAAAATTCGTGGCATCGCAAAAGATCTTGGTTTATGTCACATGTCGTTAACAAGATATTTGTAGAAACGAAAAGAAGCAAAAGAGAAGGGCACACCTATAGAATCTCTCACAGTTGGCTACCAGAAGAATAGACAAGTTTTCAACGATGAACAAGAGGGCATTTTGGTGAGTTACTTGATTAAAAGCAGCCAAATTTACTACGGATTGACGCCAAAAGATGTCAGACAACTAGCATTTGCCTGCGCACTTAAGTACAATATTGTAATGCCACAATCATGGCTTGACAATAGAGAAGCAGGAGTTGATTGGCTGACAGCGTTTTTAAAACGGAACCAGTCTTTGTCTATAAGATCGCCAGAGGCTGCTAGCCTAAGCAGGGCTACGTCATTTAATAAAACTAACGTCAATAATTTTTTTTTCTAAGCTGGCAGACGTGTTGGAGAGATATAAATTTTCTTTGTCACGAATATGGAATGTAGATGAGACTGGCGTGACAACGGTGCAGAAACCTAGAAAAAATTTGGCTCCAAAAGGGTCCAAGCAAGTTGGTTCCATTACGTCAGCGGAGAGAGGGACTCTTGTCACTCTTCGCGTAGCAGTAAATGCAGTGGGGAAACTCGATACCATGTATGTTTATCTTCCCACGAATAAAATATAGGGACTATTTTGTTCGCGATGGACCTCCAGGCTGCATTGGCGCTGGCAATTCGAGTGGTTGAATGACTGGGGGTGAATTTAGAACATTCATGAAACATTTCATAGACAATGTAAAACCATCTCCATCCGATCCTGTGCTCTTATTATTGGATAATCATTCTTCGCACTTGGATATTGAAGTCGTCGAAACAGCTAAAGAAAACAATGTGGTATTGCTGTCCTTCCCACCACATTGCTCGCATAAACTCCAGCCCATAGATGTGGGGGTCTATGGACCATTTAAAAATTACTGTGCCAGCCAACAAGATGCTTGGCTTAGAAACAATCCGGGTAAGACAATGACTATTCACAATATTCCATCTATAGTGAATAAAGCTTTACCCTTAGCGCTGAATCCGGCTAACATCATCAACGGATTTCTAAAGAATTCTTTATTAAATTGCACCATTTAATAAAGATATTTTTCAGGATGATGATTTCTTGTCTGCTTTTGTTACTGACAGACCAATAGACGAAACTGCTAACTTAAATCTTGAAAACACGCCTGTTACAACAGAGATTATTCCAAATCAATTCACTGGGACTCTATCTCCAACTCCTACACATTCCTCCAAAGATAATACTATACCTCCTATACCTGGATTTATTAAAGAGGCCACTGAAGTAGTAGATGCTGCAGGAGAATGCGAAAGCTCACTTTATGGTTCAGTTGCTGGTTGTAGCAGCGATCTGATTCACAATGAATGTACGACTTTTTCTCCCGATACCATTCGGCCTTATCCAAAAGCTGCTGCAAGGGCAAACAAAATAACACGAAACACTCGCAAATCAGCTATTTTAACGGATACGCCGGAAAAAATGTATTGGAACAAGAACAGAACAAGAAAAAGGAAATTACATCAAAAAATAGAAAGGTGAGTAAGAAAGGGAAGTCATCTGAGCCAGGAAAGATGAAGAGGGAAAAAACACCTAAGGATACAAGGAAGATTGCTGTGAAAAGGAAGGTTTTACATGACACTGAGTCTGACGAAGGAAGTGTAGATGATTATTTTTGCCTGATATGTTGTGAACCGTTTGATCAAAGTCGAGCTGGTGAGGAATGGGTACAGTGTGTTCTTTGTAAGAAATGGTCACACGTAAGATGTGCTAAGGGAAATGTTTTATCCTACATATGTTTGAATTGTGAAAGTGATTGTTCAGACTATAGTGACTGAACTGTTTTTAGCTTTTAGGATCTTATTGTTTTTTAAAGAGAGACTTTATTTATTTTTTGTTCATGTGATGAGTCATAACAAATGTTTTGCTAATTCATACTAAGTGTTTGTTTGATAAAGAAATTTATAATTTTCTACCGAGTTGGAAGTTACCTAAATTTTATTTTTATGAGGCGTAAGAAGACTAAAAAATAAGATTATAATTATGTTCAACGAAGTTACTGTTTTTGTTTTAATGAGGCAAAAGACTGCTATATAGACATTGTAGACATAATAATTGTAGTAAACTGTCATTGTTCGCAATAAAAAGTGTTATATTACGTTTGGTTTTCGTTGTAACATTTTGCCCCTTATAGTGTAACAACCAGCCGCTGGCGTGGGGCCGTAAGTTACACGCCCCTTTTCCCAGAATTCATTCATTTATGTCACTTCTAATAGTCTGATATCTAAAATTGATTTTAAATTAATAACCCGAATAGTTACTTAATCAAATAAACCTACATTCCGGTAAAACAATCAAACAAATAAAAAATTACGACACTTTATAAAAAAATGTCACGACCAGCCCCAGTCTCCCCTACAGCAGGCACGCGCTTCACTGTGGCCGGATTTTCACTCGGTCACTGTAAAGTAGGCGCGGGACCCGAAGCTTATTGTCTTGTAATACTCGCTTGACGTGCTGAAGCTCGGCGGCCCGATGTTTTCTGTCACAGATCCCTTGTGCTCTCTGAAAAAAAATTTTCCCACGGTAGCTAACTGTAATGGGTGTTGGTGAGATTCGCCGTTTGAATATCGGTTGGTATGGGTCTTTTTCCTATACACAGTGATCAATAGTGTTATCAAGATTTCGAATGACTAAAACATCCTCCTCTTACCTCTAACTCCATTGTTAAATTGCATTTTAAAGTTTATGGAGTTGAGGTGGCCTGAAAATGCAGTTGTTACTAACTCCATTGTCAAATTGCATTTTAGAGTTTATGGAGTTGAGGTGGCCTGAAAATGCAGTTGTTACCTTACCTTGTTATATGGTAAAAATGTGAGTGTCGTTTCCGTACCGCTTGTAGAATCTTGGATTCAGGGATGTTACGAATATGACATTTCGGATCTGGAAACGGATAGGGGAATAATATTATATCGATTTCGGTTATGGATATAAAATTATTTCGCATTATCCGTTAGTTTCAGATTGGATTAAATTTTTGAGGATATGTAAAATATAAGTAGGTAATCATTTGGCTTTATTTCTAGGTTATCATTTGGTATTACAAACAGTAGTTTTGTTACGGCCTACGGTTGCTCCCTTAAAGGATCCAATCCCCTGGGGCCCATCAGCAGAAGACTTCCCGAGCAAACGTAGGTCGGGCCTCCTAAGGCCACGTGGAATCTCTCTAATTACACTAGAATATATGGGGGAGCGTTATACTACGGCCAGTCGACAGGAAGGAATTTGGATGAATCTTACTTACCTATCCAAGGCGACTGGTCCCTCCGGAGTCGGTCAGGTCGCATGTGGTTGTGTAGTGCAAGGGAAAGAATGGTGATATGGTGTGTATCTGGGTGTGACTGATGGTGATTGAACCTAGACCTTAGCCGTCGGCAGCAGCCCGAGCGTCGACACCGCTCCAACTTGAGGGGGCCTTTCGAGGTTATCCACAGTCACTTTCTTGGTTCACCACGATGACAGTCACTTAACTCTATCGTACTATTAACTAGCTTACCGAAGCCACTAACTATCGCGGGGTATAAGGTTACCGCACAAAACACGCCCGGATTTTCTGGGTCAAAGGTCACTACCGGTTCACGTGGCAACAGATAGTTCTAAATACGGAGGCCGCACTAGCTTATATTGTCGAATGCACTTATACAGATTCTGAGTCGGACCCAATAAGTCCCGGGAAAGGCTATCCAAACAGGGAATGCGCGTTATAATTCCTAGACAGGATATTTACTAGACGCCCTAACTATTCCGCGGTTCCCGCACAAAATTAACAGCGTGCAAACATTAGCACATCTGGCCGATGACTGACTCGCTTGCGACCCGCGCGCCACTGCCACGCTCGGAAGAACTTCAAACCGGAATCGCGCCGAGCCGAGTGACATCTGGTGTCGATTCCGACAACAGAGTTTTGCGCGAACAAGTTTACTTATGTAATTATTATAGCTAACTACACATTTTTAAAGTTATCTACTTAAAAATGCTATAATAAAATTATTATAATCAAAAACAACCCGGACCCGTCCAACTACAGGCCTATCGCCATCACCCCCTTGTTCTCCAAAATAATGGAATCCATTATAAACTGCCACCTCATGCGGTACCTTGAGAACCACCAGCTGATTACTGACCGCCAATACGGTTTTCGTCGGGGTCGATCAGCTGGTGATCTTTTGGTCTACTTAACTCATAGATGGGCGGAGGCAGTAGAGTCCAAAGGGGAGGCATTGGCCGTTAGTTTGGACATTGCGAAGGCCTTCGATCGGGTTTGGCACAAAGCGCTTCTTTCGAAGCTCCCTTCCTGGGCTTCCCGAGAAATTATGCAATTGGATCACCAGCTTTCTTGCAGATCGGAGCATCAAGGTCGTTGTAGACGTTGCATGCTCCGACTACAAGCCTTTTAATGCTGGTGTTCCACAAGGCTGCGTGCTATCACCAACACTGTTTCATCTGCATATCAATGATATGTTGCAAACCCGTAGCATTCATTGCTATGCGGATGACAGCACTGGTGATGCTCTATACATCGGCCGTGCCAATATTTCTCGGGAAAACGTCGCCGAGCACCGGAACAAACTTGTGTCTGAAGTCGAGTCTTTGCTGAACAAAGTCTCGGATTGGCGGCGACTAAATCTAGTCTAGTTTAATCCTCAGAAGACACAAGTTTGCGCGTTTACCGTTAAAAAGAATCCCTTTGTCGTATTTCCTCAGTTTCAAGGCACTCCCCTTCTTGCCTCAGCCAGTATCGGAATCATCGGCGTCGATATATCGAGTGACGTGCAGTTTCGTGGTCACTTGGAAGAGAAGGCCAAATTGGCCTCTAAAAAGCTTGGCGTGCTCAACAGAGCGGGACAGTATTTCATGCCGGCACAACGCCTGCAACTTTACAAGGCGCAGGTTCGGCCTCACATGAACAGTATTTCCCATCTCTGGGGCTCCCCAGTGCCAGCTCCTTCCACTTGACCGCATCCAGCGCAGAGCGGCTCGAATCGTCAACGACCGAGTCCTTTCCGATCGGCTCGACTCATTGGCGCTGCGAAGAGATGTTGCATCTCTTTGCATTTTCTTTCGCATTTACCACGGGCTCTGAGGAATTGTTCGGATTAATCCCAGCCGCCAAATTTCACGAACGCACATCGCGGCAAAACTCCCGATACTATCCACACCATCTGGATGATTGGCGGTCTACCACTGTGCGATTTAGAAGATGTTTTCTTCCTCGCACAACTTCCTTGTGGAATAGTTTACCACCAGCGATTTTTCCGGACCGATACGACTTAGGGACCTTCAAGAAAAGAGCCTACTCCTTTTTAAAAGGCCGGTAACGCATCTGCAATTCCCCTGGTGTTGCGGTTGTTCATGGGCGGCGGTAGTCACTTACCATCAGGTGAGCTGCATGCTCGTTTGCCCCCTCTCCTATAAAAAAAAAACAATGCCATTCGTTTTTTTTTTTCTATTATATTATTCAATATAATTCTAGGAACTATTACAACACATCAATCAGTCTTCTTAAGTCTTTGCATATTGAAGAATATAAACTAAAATCTGAGCATAACATAATCTCATTTAGACTCCGTCCCTATCCGAAATTTTTACATCGGATTCGGTTACAGTTATCCGTAACATCCCTGCTTGGATTTACAGGGGCAGTAAGAGGGGCTTTCTCCTTAAAGTTCTCCATGAATATGTCGGCGACTATGAGTGAGCCTATCGCCACCTATCGGAAGGAAGAGTTCTACAAGCAAGTAGACAGCTTGCTTGTAGAACTCTTCCTTCCATATTAAATATTCTTCGAAACGCCGTGAATTAAAAAGTTAAAATAAACGCGATAAAATCCGTACAATTAGTAGCATTTAAGATATAAATAATATTCATATAAATTTTTGTATTTCTTTCAGATAAGGGTAAATTCACACAGTACTAATGCTACAAACATTGTAAAAAGTTTGCAATGTTTATTACCAGTTCCTAACGACGTCGTGCGTCGTAAAGTTTGTAGTGGTGACGTTGATATCGTACCTACATCCAAAATTTGTATATTAGAAGAAATTGGTAATAGTAATTTTCATTGCAAGTGGTCCGGTTCAATACCACCAAAATGTAAGTTATAGTCACAATTTATTGAAACGAAGTTCCTTATCGGACGTTACGAATTTGGCGGAATGGGGCTAAGCGAGAAAAAGTGTAAGATTTTTCCGTTTCAACCCCTTCTGACGTAGTACAGACGGCTTTGGCGGCTATAAGGAAGCGAGATGTAATAATATCCATCTCTCTCGCACTTTTTCGTATCTTGCCATGAAAGAAATATTATTTTATTTTAAATGACGCTTCATTTGAATAGACGCTAGTAATTTATTAATTTGTATTTGTTAATCAATAATATAATACGTTAATCAATAATAATATACTACGAAAGGAACTTCGTTCCAACCGAGTGTTCCACGACACTCACGCATGTTTTACTTTTTATTAGTTATGTAAGTGTGCCAAGAAAATTAAAGCTTAGGGGCCATTCAAGTGTTACATAAGCACTAAAAGGGGGCGGGGAGGGGGTCTTTGATTTGCTTATTCTTGATGACATGGGGGATGGGAGATCTAGATGGTGATTATGCCAACAATATTTAGTCGTTTAGTTTTTCAGATAATCTGCAATATTTAGTCGCTTTTGATTTGAACACATATGACAACCATGGTACGACCACGATTCCAGGATTTGGCGAGTTTGGTTAATACATTGAAGCAATTGGCACCTGACCTTCGTAACCCTTAGACTGGGGGAAAGAGACAAATTGAATCATGGTTACACATCTAGATATTCTAGTTGTGCAGGATTCCTCACAATGTTTTCCCTCACTGCCGAGGTAGTAATGGTATAAATTCGCACGTAGATTTCGAAAGTCCAGAAGTGCATGCCTTGGATTGATCTTTCAACTTAAAGTATGTGAGGCGCGCAATCTTATCCACTGGGCTACCGTTTACCTAATAGCGAACCACTATAAGTTGATTTCTCTATAGACTTGTTAACTTCTGCTCACGAACCAATAAGGAAACCAGAACAGATTAAAAAAAATACTTTAATATTTACGTAAGCATGGAAGGGGGGGGGGGGGGGGTAAGAACTTTGCTTACCTTTGTTGACGAGGTGGAACCAAATGGCTGATCAGACAAAATGGTTCTTCGTTCTTAACCCTATGTTTAGTGCTGTCTCTCATAAAGGAGGGAGATAATCTTACATGGCGAGGATTTGATTATTATTATTATGGATTTCCATAGACATGAGAAATAATAGTATAACTTCAAAATGCTTTCTTTAGCCCAATAGTAACCCTTAACTATGGAAACTTGACTCTCTCTCTGACTAAATAAATTTAAAATAATAGTCTGTGGGCCGAAAAAGCTTTAGGAAAGAGTAATCTAATGACCTACAAATCTTGTTCCCTCAGATTATAGAATTTCTGGTCTTTGTCAATATGCAATGTAAATGAGTAGAAATTTTTAAAGCCGGTGCCAGATATAGCAACAACATTTGAACACTTATTTGAAGGACTTTGCCAGACATGCTTTGTAAACACATCTCTCCACAGTACGTTGATAAACGTCAAACACGATGGACGACGATTTTGTGGATGCAGTGTGCCCGTATTATTTAAGTGCATGTCATTATTTATTACACGTGCAAAAATAATACAATAAAATATTCAAATACAAGATTTTCTATTTCATTCATAAGTACTAGTTTTAACTTTTCAGATAAAATCTGACCATACAAATCACATTCAATCGATTGTTTTTATGATTGGAACTATTTTTAAAACGTACTGCGCACGACCGTTCTGCTCAACAACGCTCGCGCGACTGAACTTTGCACAAGTGTGGCAGGGTACGCAAACATTGGAACACTGTCGACTTTGAACGCTTTGATGTGCGCTAAAAAACCGAAACCGCTTGGCAAAATGCATTTCTTTGTGCACTTATTTGAAAAGTGATTAAAAGTCCCATGCTACACATAGCTTCAAACAAGTGTTCAAATGTTTGAAGCTGTATCTGGTGCTGGCCTAATAGTTATTTATTTAATGTGAATGTTCAATGATGCATGTATATGTATATATGTCATTTGTTTCAGGTCCCACACTTATGATTAGAATAGAAACTGCGATCTCTAATAAAATTTTCAATGATGCAATTCTACATCAACATGTAAAATCACTACAGTTAGAATGGTTAGGGTATGTATTGACATTAATTTATGCACAGGTGCCTCTGCTCATCTGCAGAAGAAAATTTGTCCTCATAAGATGTGTATAGTGGTACTTAGAACCTCTTTCCTAAGAGTCTGTGCAGAATATCTGCTATCAAGAGTTCAAAATGGTTAATCCGCCTGCCATAAGTGGCAACAATGGTAAATATCGTCTGTTCTTTGGAATTTTGATAGGCTGTAATAAATGAATTAATCTATTTCTATTGTCAAGTGGCAGTGCATAACCTCCAAATCTGAAACACTACACTGTGTTGAGGTTTCAGGTTATGCTGACTTAGTAACTAATTAAAGGGCTGTGAGGCACTGGTTGATTCAAATGTAAATGAAACTCCTTTTTGTCTTTTTTTCACCCCGTTGCAAAGGCCCTCAAAATTTATTGTTATTAAGTGAATATTTATTTCTTACAGGATAGCAAATACTTTGCATTCTGCTATATCCTCTTCAGGGTGTAAATCTGAAGCAATAAGTAAATTGAAGCAAACACTAGGTGTCATGCAACAAGATGAAATACTTTTGAATTATTGGATAAATACTTTTTGTATTTGATACATAATCTGTGATATTAGAAATAAATTTGATTTATTGATTATTTAAAATGAGTTTTATTTTATGGGATTCAATATATTATTTCATTATTTTAAAAGCTGAGTTTGAGAGTTTGTATGTTATATGACAGGTCTATCCATAGTCCTCATCACCTAGCTTGGTAGACTAATTATTCTGCAATCTATCTCACAGGTTTCATTTGTTACAGAATAAATATTTAGGCCTTATCTATTTGAACAATGTAATAAATTATGATTACTACTGTTCAAAAAGTAACTCAAAAATGTAATTGTCAGGAAAGCTTTTCATATATCAATACCATGAATTTATATTCTAATTATAAAATTATGGTTTATCAGAATTTGCCTAGTGTTTCGAAGTTAGAAAATAAAATTGACAGATACTAAAAATTCAAGTTGTAAAAAAGAGGTCAGTAGAAGGAAAAGCTCATGCTAGAGGCCCAAACTTTATACATTTTATTATCATTGTCACCACCCATCACAAGTTCACTGCAGAATATAGGCCTCCCCATAGGAATGCCATTAAATATGGTCATCAATGTGGTGTATAATATAGTAATGGAATAAAATAAAAATCCACAATAGATAGTACTCCTTATATTAAAATGATTACACATTGGAGCGACGGCTCGGTCTAGCGCGTTCATGGCCCTTTGAGCGCACGTAAGGCTTGGTGTGTGAGCGGGGCGCTCCCGGCGCGGGACCGAAGTGACGCACGGCTTCACGAGCGTTCCTACGGCCCTGCATCAACACAGTCTTGCGGCCAGTCGGGGCACGGAGGGCCAGCTGATCAAAAGTAAGGATCTCTCCTGAAAAGAGTAGTAGTAATATTTGAAATTATTTTGCTAGTGAATTTTGGAATGGTACCTTTTATTTAAATTAATAAAGGTATACCAAACAGTAAGCTGTACTTTAATATATGTATTATTGTCTAAATGTTTGGCTGGCTTATTGGTCAGAGTACCTAGTACACCATGTGTCAAATTATGTTGTGATTGTCACCATCCTAGTCTGCTCCACTCCACATCAAACACAGTACAAAGACCTGTGTTGTGGTGTACTACTAAGTGCATATACTGTACTACTACTACTATATTTTTCATGCAGTTGCAGTTTCCAAAAGTATTTTAACACTGATCAAATTAAATTAGAAGATTGTCATTTCCTGTCATGTGTAATATCTTGACTAATCAAAAAGGGGCTTAATCAAATGTGCAAGACATCTGGTACTGCAGGCATCCACAACTGTTTCTGCCATCAGTGCAGAGCCACTTTGGAATGACGTGAAATATCTGACAGATTTCATAGTGAGGAAGTAATTTGTTAGGAAAATGTTGAGTGATGAGTTAACGTTTCTTTCTGTAATATTGGTTATATTTTGTATTAATTAGATTAGAAATGAATAAACCATGGATATTACTAAAAGTAGAAGATTAAAAAAAAAGAGTTAAAAAGTTGCAATAGAATACTCCAGTAACTGATAAACTTTTATTTAAAACTAACTTTTCAATTAAATGGCATTTTGTAACAAAAAACTTCACCTCAGTGTCAACTAGTGACATGTGGTGAGGGGAACATTATTAGCTCTCATTGTAAATCTGCCCGCCAAACATGGCAATAATAGGAATTCTATTTATAATAAAAGAAGCCTATGGCAACAGTAGATTTACTGACTGGTAAAGGTGTGTTTACTATGGCAATTTTAAATGGGATTTTTAAATAAATGCAGAATAAATAAATACATACAAATAATTTTCAAGAAAATTGTACTGAATATTATGAAATCAATTTTTTTTTATAGGATAGGGTGACAAACAAGCACACAGTCCACCTGATAGTAAGTGGTTACTGTGACCCATAGACATCTTCATCTATCCTCAATAAAAACTTAAGATGCAAATGCGTTGTCACCCGTGAGGACTAAGATGGAATGCCTCTTTGCCAGTAAAAAGGGTCTCCGGTTCTCTACACTCACCATACGAAACACAACAGCGTTAAGCTGCTATTTTACACTGGTTTTCTGTGAGAGCGTGGTCCTTCCCCGGTCGAGCCTACCCATTCGTACTACAACTATACTACTAATATAGCTGCAGCTTGGCTCTACCACGTAAAGCTCCAAAACGTCCTCTAGGCAGATTTCAGTCATGGAAATCACTATTAAATTACAAATCAATTGCACAAAGTTTAAAGTTTTATAAAATGTGCTCACAGTGCACAAACATAAATGAACTTATTCTTTATCTCATATCTGATACTAATAAAACATTTTATATGAGGACAAATGCAAAATAAATGTTATTATCAAAAGAACTTTAAAAAATCCGAAATTTAAAAATCCTAAGGAAAGGCAAACGTGATAAACATTCTATTTCAGCATAAATATAGTAGTGGAAGCTAACCACCAGAATCTATGGAATACTAGCTATGCATCCTGGCTTCACACGGGTGATTTCTGGATCTTGACAACAACACAACTACTGTTTCATTTCCCTCTGTTGTTTCTTCCCAAGGCTCACAAGATGATATGAGGTAGTGGATTCTCTAAAATCACTACTACACAGCTCATTTGATTCCATTAGTTGTCCTAAAATCCTGATAATTTCCATAAGATAAATATTACTAAATGCTACTTTAAATTACAAAAAAATATATGATGATAACCTTCCTGTCACTTGTAACATTCACCATTATAAAAAAATTAGAACCATATTATTATAGTGCTTGTGTATTATTGTTGCTCAAATTATAACAATGATGAATCTCAATCTCAAACAAGGCAGGGAAGAATATTTGTTAAAACTAAAAAGGTTTCTTCCGCTTAATTTCTATGCATTTTGTGTATCATCAAATACATGCTTTATAACCTAATTGGTTTTGAATTTGACAAAGTGAAATAAATGTTACTAACCTCCAGCAGCCAAGATTCGAGCACGAGCCTTTTCAGTGACGTGTAGTGCAGCCACCGTTAGTTTAGGGACCTTGTATAGGCGGACATCATTAGTGACAGTACCGACGACTACCGCAATTAGACCCTCACGTGTTGGCTTCTTCATGTGGCGCGCCAAGCGAGATAAGGAGATCGGTGGTCTGTTGATACGGCTCATGAACAATCGGCGCAAAATAATTTGGTTGAACTTAGCATTTGTGCGCCTAGCCAAGTACCTGTAAAGCTGTAAACAAAGAATTGCTAGTGTCATAACCTGCCTTTTGCCTGCAAAAATAATATCTGATTATACTTTATTTTACATAACATAACTTACTTTCACCAAAAGCCTAAGGTATACATCCTTAGACTTAACTTCGGTGCGCCTAACTTTCCTGTCGTGTTTGTGGTTGATGTCAACTCCCTGAAATAAGAAACGAAACACATCTCCATAACACAGTTTTATTCGAAAACCACTCAAACTTTCCACTCCAATTTAATTTCACTGTGATTTTTATTGATTTAATTTAAATTTGTTTTGATGAAACTCACCATCTTGACAACCAGAAGAAAAAGAAATTTGTCAAAGACAGTGGGTATAGACAATCACACTATTTGACATTTAACTTCAAAGTTGCCTTATTAAAGTATCACCATAGAGAACAAGAAAATAGTACAAGTACTAGGTATAGGATAGTACAAGTATTTGTGAATAGGACACAGCTTGGAAATAATAGTATATCTAGTCATTTAAGAAATATTACCTAATCTAATAAGTATGTATGCATAACTTAAGGGTGTTATCTGATCATTACCATTATTTTAGCCACAGTTTAAAGAGTTAAACGGTGTTTTAGCTATTGGGTTTTTTCAGTGCTGCCCAGTGCTGCCATTGCTATGACACAAGAAGCTTAAATGTAGCTTCTCTAATCTGAGGTTTAAGAAATTTATTTCTCAAAAAAGTATACACTCACTTACTGAATAACATAAAAGAAAGAAAAAAGTCATAGTCATAGTCATAGTCATTTATTCCATAGAACAATATTACGTTGTATTGGAAATTTATTACATGCATTGAGACATTTACATGCAATTATTTTAATTAAAATTGAAATCGATAAAATTTAAACATCAATTAACAAATTAATTAAATAATTTTCATGTCATAATACACTACAAATTACATTAAAAATTATACAATACATAAACAATAAAAATTAACATTGATTAAGTTTATTTTTGTCATTTAAGTAATCGTCAACTGAGTAGTAGCTTTTTTTAATTAATAAAGTTTTTAATTTATTTTGAAATTTGTGGTGGCAATAAATAGTTTTAAATGAGGTAGGCAAAGAATTAAATAGTCCAATGGCTTGATATCTTGTGCTGTGGCGTACAACATTCAATGTTGGTGTGATAGAAATTTTTATATCTTTTCGGCGGGTCATATCTCTCTTTTTCCTTTCTTCGTATGTTTCATATTTGTGAAAGTTCTTTACTAAATGAGTAAGTGAAACTAAGATATACAGAGAGGGAACCGTCAATATGCCAAGATTTCGGAAATGTTCCTTACACGATTCAATTTGTGGAATACGTAACATGGTACGGATCGCCCTTTTTTGTAGTACAAACGCTGCCTTAATATTATACTTATAACTATTGCCCCAGAATATTATGCTATAACGTAGTTTAGATTCTACCAGAGCAAAATAAACCATTTTTAGCTGTTCTTACGTAACTTCTTCTCGTAAACTTCTTAAGGCATAGCATGCTGAACTGATAGTGGATTCTAGTGCTTTAATTTCCTTTTTCCAATTTAAATACATGTCTATGTGGATTCCTAGAAATTTGACTGATTCAACAGAGTCAATACTTATACCGTCAATGTTAACATTTATTGAATCTTTTTGTCTTGCTGTAGATTTAAAAAGCATTGCGTATGTTTTATTTGTGTTTAATAAAAGATCGTTTGTAGTAAACCAACTTTTAAAGTCATACAGTGTGTTTTTCATTTTAGTATTTAATTCGTCTACCGAGCTAGCAGACACAATCGCGTTGGT